ATAATTAGGTAAAACAGACCAAATAATGCTAACAGATAAAAAAAGCTCTCATTAGTGAAGGATTGGCACCCACTGGCCTTAATCTACTTTTCCGAGAAAAAAAACTTGATGCAGGCGGACACACAGATATTTCCTAGGATATATTGTTGGGCATTTTGGTATATAGTTATGAAATCTTGATTCTGGTGAATCTTCCATACAGTTTTATGAGGCCACACAAAAAATATATAAGGGGATCATGAAACATGCTTCAAACAAATGTCCGCATTTCCAAATGGCAGTGACTTAAATTCAATGAATTACTAATGTACTATAGCTGTCAGAATATCTTTTAGCTCATCAACAACTCTGAGCACTTTTCTAAGTAAATCCAAAAAATGTGCCAACCCATGTAAATATTTCACAAGCCTTGCCCCTTGCCACAGAGAATTTATACAAGTGCTCAATAAATGCAGTCACAGTTGTTTAATGCCTTTGATGTCATTGCTCTTTCGGGAACACTGTCTGTTTTTAGCATTTGTTAGAAACTATGAGGCTCTATAACTCTTATACTGCAAATTTTGTTGTTTAAAAAGAGCAGTAATCCAGTGCATTTTCTTTGAGGTATATAAACTCTGCTCAAGGAAACCCGCCATCTTGTATGGGCAGTTAATGCAGAGGGTTATAGGAGGTCTGAATCTGAAAACAATGATTTTTACAAGGAAAAGCAACAAACATGGCACAGTAATCCATTATTTTTCCCTTTGTGTTTGGGGCACTGTAATTCATCAGATGGGCAAGTCATCAAAAGGATTATTGTGTTTTTGTGAAAAATAGGAGGCCTTTTCTGCCAATACATGACCAGACAGCCAGCGAACTCTTGGATTAGGGCTTATGTTTTCCCCTTTTTCCCCCAAAGCAAAGCTAGGCTGTAACCTGGCACTGACCACTCCCCATCAGTATACCTTTTTCTGTCCTTGACATGTGCTGTATTTTCTTTTTCCTGTTTACTTTTTAAGTTAGGCTAGGATAATTTAGGTATATAAATAATCCTCCCTTTAAAGTTTGGCAAATTAAAATAAATCCTCTAGTGATTACATAGTAAAAATTAATGTTCTATCTAAAGATCAAATGTCAAAATAAAAATCAATCTAGAGCAGCTATTTTAGAACAGGGAGACTCCTCCGAGATTAGAAAATTGAACCATTTAAGGAGGCAAGTCAGTCATTTATGACAACAAACCACCAAGATGAATGGTGGTGGGGGTGGGGCAAGGGCAGGGAAAGATTTTCTGAAAGTGGAGAGTATAATGAGCAGGGATGCTACTTAGGACCACACGGGAAGGAAGGACCATATGAGATTTGAAGGGTGAGGAGACATCCACAAGAAGGATAGGAGATTACTACAGCATTCTAGGAAGCAGAGGTGGCAGGGATAAAGGTATAAGGGAGGGAGAGCTCACTGGCTCCAAAATACAGAAAGGAAACTGCAAACTGAGATTAATCAGTTAGTGTTTAAGAGTATGCAAAGTCAGCATTTTGTCAACTTCATTTTGTAACTTTTGATATTCATACAACTTTTAATATCATTACATTTGAAACCATTTTTAGGTCACATTTTTTTCATTTTGCAGTAATTCCTGAGTATGTGTAATAGGTGCTTAGAAATCATAATCTTAAGCTAAAGAGTTAATCATAGCCATATACTTTGCTATTAAATTATTAATATTTTGTTAAAAGTTAAAATCCGTCTGGCAAATAAGTAAGGGCTGGGAAAGTCTTAAAAGGTGAAGTGGTAGAATTAGAGGTGTAAAGAACTGGCTACATTTAGAAATGTATCTAAGGACCCTGTTGGACTTGCTGGTGTTGAGGGGTAAAGGAAGCATCCTAGAAAATGTCCAGGTTCCTGGCTCAAGTAATGGTTGTGAGGATGAGAGTAGCATTTTGTGAAAAAGACAAGACTGGGAAAAAATTAAGTTTTGGACAGGGCAGGTGAGGGTGTGTTTTGAGAGGTATCTTTCAATACCTAGATTCAAAGGGCTTGGTGCCTCCCAAGTCCAATATGGTAGATCACACTCAGCCCCTGCCCTCGGAGAGCTTGCAGCCTAAAGGCTTTTGTGGTGACCGGGCTTCCCTAGGGGCATGGAAACAGAGCAAACCTCATAGTGTCAGTAAAGTACCTCATAGTGTCAGTAAAGTACTTTTTATAAAGGTGAAATGACCTCACCATAGTTTGGGGAGGAGCTATAGATGGAGAGTGGTTTTGCCACCTTCTACTCACTTAGCCTTGTTGAGGTTTTGGGTTGATCTGCAATATGACAAAAACTTCTATTCAGTATATGTTTCTGCCTATCTGAAGCAGAGATGAAGAGAGAGCACATGAGGGCCAGGGATGTTGGGGGTGGGGGCGGCAGGGAGGTATCTATATATTAGATTTACTGTAGGTTGTGCTGAGGTATGGAGGAGGAGAGGAGTTAAAAAATGAAAGATATTAAACACAAACAAGATAAATGCCCCAAATTTACCTGTCTTGTCTTTTTT